TGCCCTCCCTTGCTGGCCATCTTGTGGTGGCCATCTTGTGTCCACATGAGGGTGGCCATCTTATGTCTTGTGAAGGTCAATTTGCATATTACTCTTTTATTAGATAGGATGGTACTGGAGTGGGAACAAACTGTGAGACTGGCCCCATGGAGCCCCCAATTCCCTGATAATAATCCCTGGTTGGAATTCAGGCAGCAACCATAGAGCCATGGACAGAACCAGTCACATTTCACCTCTGGATTTTGTCTACAGTAATTTGCCACCCAAGATTATCGACTATTTCTATCTACGCATAAAAGTCTTTGTGTTTAGAGCAGCAAAGTCTTTACCTGTGAGGTTGAAATCTCGAGGTAAAATGCTAAAGTATTTCCTTCTGAAATTAGACCATAATGTGCAATACCCTTTGTTTCTTTCTTTCTTTCTTTTTTTTAAAATATATTTTAAATATATTTTTAAATATATTTTTTAAAATATATTTTAAATATATTTTATTGATTTTTTAACAGAGAGGAAGAGAGAGAGATAGAGAGCTAGAAACGTCGATGAGAGAGAAACATCGGCCAGCTGCCTCTTGCACACCCCCCACCGGGGATGTGCCCGCAACCAATGTATTATACATGCCCTTGATCGGAATCGAACCTGGGACCCCTCAGTCCGCAGACCGATGCTCTACCACTGAGCCAAACCGACTTCGGCTGTTTCTTTCTTTTTTTAAAAAAATATATTTTATTGATTTTTCACAGACAGGAAGGGAGAGGGATAGAGAGCTAGAAACGTTGATGAGAGAGAATCATCGATCAGCTGCCTCTTGCACACCCCCTACTGAGGATGTGCCCCCAACCAAGGTACATGGCCTTGACAGGAATTGAACCTGGGACCTTTCAGTCCACAGACCGATGCTCTATCCACTGAGCCAAACCGCTTTCGGCTATCCTTTATTTTTTAATGTAACACTTACAGTACTTGGACTGTCTCTCCCCCCTACCCAGTCACCTAGATTTGTATGTTTTCTATTTCCCTTTGACAGAGGAGACATATTTTTATGATTTTTCTATAAGGCATTTTAATAACAACACGGAAGAGCTGCCTGTAAGTTTTGTTGCACTTTTCACTTCTATTTAAACTTTTTATTTAAGAGCTACACACCTGGTCTCTTGTTCTGACTTTGTTGACCTTTTTTTAAAAAAAATACATATTTTAATGATTTTTTACAGAGAGAAAGAGAGAGGGATACAGAGTTAGAAACATCAATGAGAGAGAATCATTGAACAGCTGCCTCTTGGACACCCCCTACTGGGGATGTGCCCGCAATCAAGGTAAATGCCCTTGACCAGAATCGATCCTGGGACCTTTCAGCCTGCAGGCCAAGGCTTTATCCACTGAGCCAAACCGGTTTCGGCTTTGTTGACCTTCTATTGCATTCACTCAACAAGCATTTATTGAGTACCTACAGTGTGCCAGGCTCTGTGATGAGTTACATAAGTAAATTTCTGTGTCTTTCCTAGAAGTATTTACAAATTACTGGTAAGTTGAGAAGTGTTTTATAGTTAGGGTGTCCCCTCAGGGCTATGTTTGTACTGCCTTGATAATACCCAACAAGGGAGGAGGATGTGAGCTCATGATAGCACCTTATCTTTTTTAACACTATCATTGAACTAACAGGTTGGCACATGACCCAAGCTTCACAAGCCTTTTTTTGTCAGAAGCTGATAAAAAAAAAAAAAGATCTCTCTTCCCTTGGGTTACATGGCTTTAAAGCTATAAACCTGCAATCACTAGCTTTCTTGCCCCTGGCCACATGGAGAAGACCTATTTGCAGTAGAAGAAAATGATACCCCTATGCAGAAAGAAATAGAGAAAAAAGAGAGTCCTGACACTGTGCAAGTCTAGGGATGGAGTCACCCCTGAGACCGTCTCCCCTCTTCCTTCCCAAGAAGCGTCTATGTGTTGCCCTTAGTTGATTAAATTAGTTTGAATTTCATCCTATTGCTTGCAACCAGAGAATTCTAAGCCTCTGTAAGAGTGTTAGGGGGATAATAAGGAGGAAGATGCATAGAACTCAGTTTTATAAAGTGAGGACAGGCTTCACAGGGGGAAGACAGACAACCAAGCTTTGTCCTTGGAGATGAGGAGAGCTTTCACAGCAGGATAAAAGGAAAGGCATTTCTGGGAGGCAAGAGTCCAGTGCATTTGGGAAGAAAATGAGCTAATGTGATTTAGAGAGGGGCAAGAACAAAAAAATGAGCCCAACTTAGATCCCGAGAGGATTTCCTTCAATGCTTTCCTTTTGGGTTTGGGTTTTGTCCCATAAGCAATGATTCGAAAGTCTTTAAAGGATTGTAAGCAGGGTTATCTTATGGTCAGATTAATTTTTTAGAAAGATAATTGGTTACAGTGGTGGATAGAGAAGAGGGGGGAAATCAGAGAATCCAGACAGGTTACTACAGCAAACCAGGTATGAAACAATCTGAACAAGGGCTGTGCAGGGGATGGACTATAGAAGGGTCAAGGTGTGGACTAGAGGAGTGGCTGCCCCTTTGGACAAAAGTGAGGGAGGAAAGGAGGCCGCGAGAAAAAGCCTTGGTTTCTGACTAAGATGACCAGGTGGCTGGGTGGAGGGCTGTTAATCAAAAAGGAAGGGCAGGTTCCGGGGAGTGAGGATGGATTCCATTAGGATTACTGCAGCCTCCCAGAATCCCCCGGGCTAGTATTACTTTCTAAAAGACAGGTATTTTTAAAACAAGGTTAATTTATTCCTTAAACACAGTTCAATATTTACAACAGACACAGAATATTAACATTTTTATTTTATTGGTGTATCTTACAACAGCCATTGTGAAACACCGTTATTTTTTTTTTCTCTATTTTTGAAGGGGAGGGGTGGGTATGTGAAAGTTGCCAACTCATTTATCAAATTGCCTAGCTCTCTAGCTCTAATTTTTTTTTTTTTTCACTATTAGCGTTCTCATTCACTTCTAAGATTATCCTGATGCTTCCTTTTTCTTTTTCCTTTCTTTAGTCACTGTACTCAAGTGGCTTTCCTAAGTGCACATGTATCCATCCGGGAAAAACCTAGACTGATGACTTAAGGAGGCGTCAACTGTCTTCAGCACTAAAAACATCTGCTTTATGATTGGCTGCCTTTCACCTGTTGAGAGCCCTCGCTGTTTATTGTTAAGGATGTTTCAAGGAAGATGTTGAGTTGTTTTTCTAAAGGTAAAAAATAGAAGTCTTTTCTGACTTGTGTTTTGGGTTTAGCCACCTTCAAATATATTGTATCTCCCTCGGCCCCTCTTTTTTTTTCTTTTTTTTTTTTCCTCCTTTTGTTACTGTATTTGTGAAAGCTTTTTCAGGTCTCTGTAAGCTTTTCTCAAGCAATGATGGAGGTTAACCCAGCACACAATTCAAAGACAGGGTAACTACTATCTTCCTTTGGGGGAGATAAGGCGAGGGTCAGGAGACCTGGGTTCTCGTAACAACTTTCTCTATTAGGAGTTTTTGCTCTCGGATTGGGAGCTAACGTCTTTGTGCTCAGTTTCTACCTCTGGAAAATGTCTCATAGTCTGAGAACAAATACCTGGCATTCATGTGGAAGTATTTTGAGCTTTTCAGAAAGCCTCTGAAAAGAATGCAAGGCAACATGCTTAGCCATAACTGACTAAAAGTCATCTGCATACATGTATCTTTGTGAGGGTAAAAGGAGAGGAATAAAAACTCCTAGCCCAGTGTTTGGCACCTAGTAGGTGCTCAGTAAAATTGCAGTTTTCAATGCTTCCCTTCCCTTTTCACTCTTTTCTTGCCTTTCCACTAAAATGCTTTTAGTTTTTCTTTGCTGACTTATTCAGATTTAGCTCAGAACAATCTTTAATTTACAGAAGCACGGCCATATTTAATATTCTAGAATATTTATATGTGTGATAATGCAAACCTAGAAGCAGGACAATGTCACCACGCTTATATTGTATTATTTTAGAAAACAAACAAGCTAATAGGTCAACTGTTACTGGCAGAAAGGAAAGAGACAGACCTTGAGAAGCTTCTGATTAGGGAAGCACATGGTGGTCCAGCTACACTGATTAAAGGGGTGGTGGTTTGGGCCTTACTTAAGCTGACCTCCCACTAACTTTGTGCTAATGGAGCAAGAGGCTTTGGCTTGTCTAAATTTTGAAAATGCCTATACTCTCTCCTCTGATACTATAGAGTAATTTGTGATTCTAATGTTATTACACATTCTGTTCAAAAAAAAAAAAAAACACAGAAAAAACAACACAGGCATGCTATTATTAATAAGGAGAGATGTTTTGAGTACTCGCCAATAAATTAATCGTGGAGATGTTCTGAATGGAAGTAATTTTATGTCTATGATCTTGAATATCTTTACGCTTCAGAAAATCATTTAAGCTAAAAGACTTAGTGACCAGAGTCGACCTCTGAACATCAGCCTTGAGCCTCACTGACAAAGGCTTAGTAATGCTTCTGCTTTCTGAATCCTCCCTCCTGACCCTCCACCCCAATACAGTAAAAAGATGTCAACCGATTTCCAACCACACTCAGTTACAACTGGTAATGGGCTTAAATTTTGTTCTGTCAAGAAAAGTAAAATTAGATCTTCCTATATAGAAAAGGGGTTTTCTTTCATCAGTATCAAAAGAGGAATGAAATGCCTTTTTAACAAGAATAAATAACTGTAGGGATCTGAGCTCCAGCAGGAGTCCAACCAGGTCACTGGGCATTTCCCCTAGCCCCCAGAAAAGGAGAATTTTCTGTGCCAGCCGATTTTGAAAGGCTGACTGATGCTTGGCCAAGAGCAGAGACCTCTGGCAGGCTCTGGGCTCTAGGCTCAGGGGAGCCGGCCAGAGGACACCTCCCTGCCAAGGCCACACTCTGCATGAGCCGGAGGACACAGGCTGCTGCGGATCTCTTCTAGTCCATGTTTTCTCTCCCTCTCTACATCCCTCTTACCCATCCCCAGACTCTCTTCTAGAGGTAGAGGGACATACCTTCAGAGAAGCCCTGGAGCTCTCAGGTACCCCGTTTCCGTATTTCCCCGAGATGATGCCGCAGGCCAGTGGAGACCAAGTCATTGCTCCAACTCCTGCAGAAGAAAAACAACTTGAAAAACTGACGGTGGTGAACGGGGATCAAGAGCATGGGGGTGTTTAAGCAGGATTGGTTAGTAATGGGAAAAAGCTGGACACATGAAAAGAGTTCACACCAGCATACATTTTTCTATTAACATGTAGGCATTTACAAGTTGCACTTCATTTTTATGAGCCAATTAAACGTGTAGTCATAGGGAGTGGACCATATAAACAAGCCTGAAACTGTGGTTTATTCATGTCCAAATGTCACACTTATTTTTACTCAGACACAAACACTTTTACTTGCACGGAAATTCGGTGCTTTGCTTATCCACTCAGTGACTAGATAGTGCCTGGTACGTACCAGATGCACAATTCCCAGCGCATGGTAAACACACAATGAGTGACAGCAATAATAACAATAGTTTTTGTTGGCCTTTTTTTTTTTTTTTTATCCTTCTTCCCCTACCCAGCATTTTCCTGCTCATGTGAACCTCTGTTTTTTAGGAAGATATCGTGTTTCCCCGAAAATAAGACATCCTCCGAAAATAAGACCTAGCACATGGAAGATAAGACATCCCCTGAAAATAAGACCTAGCGCAACTTTTGGAGAAAAAATTAATATAAGACACTATAAGACACTGTCTTATTTTCAGGGAAACAGGAGTAGTTATCTCTGGAAACTTTTAAAAAATAAATATGTAAATAACCCTGAAAATGTGGTTTATTCAAGTTTTTCTGGTACCTACAATTTTTGTGTATATGTTGTGCATATATTTCCCTCCTCTCATTGACATCATTATGTCTACCTACACAAACATGCAGTGCCTGGTTTGTGAGTTGTCCTTGAATTCCATGTCTGACTTGGTTTCAGGCACAGAGCGAGAAATATATACGTATATATCCATAATCTTCTGGAAAGGCGGTGATAATCTTCTCAAGGATGCATGCTTTGGCCACAGCAAGCACCCCATGAAAAATGAGTTTATTCATGGGTTTCTTCCCTGCATTCTGTATGCATTTTTCGAACACCCACTGAGTATAGTTTATATGCCAGTCACAGTTTGCACCTCTACTTTAGTTACCCCGCAGACTACATAAAGGCACACTTGATTTTTCTATAGTCTCTGGAATGCATAGCTCTTATTATGTTAATAAGGGACATTTAGGGAAGCATTTTAATATTTCTCCCCCACCCCCCAGGTCATGCATGGGGCCTACTGTTGTTAAAAATAATCAGCAAATTTGACTGTGATTGTGGAGATTACCTATTTTATGGTAGAGCTCCGGTAACTGAACCTCCACTTTCTCTCTCTGGAAAAGATGGTACTCGGCTTGCTCACACACCGGAGGGATCATATTGAACTGTCTTGCTACAGAGTAGGCTTCCTAGGGAGAAATAAGATTGCAACTGGATTTATGCTGATGAGAAACAAGACTGCCCTGTGATTCTATGCATGAGAAATTTTCATTTTAGTAAAATCAATACAAACGAAGAAGCATGGAGGATGACATACAATAGGTAAAGTTATGACCATCAATTTCACTAAGAGCAATACCAAACACAAGAAATCCTTATTATTCTTTGGGAGGGTTTGGACCGAGTAAAACCCAGGGCAAATTAGTCCCAGTGTGAATTATGGACGACAATAAAGAAAATGTAGTTTGACTATTTTTAGAGTCAATGAAATGAAACAGACAGTATCTACAGGTGATCTTTAATTAGCATGTGCTAAACAGTATAGTCATTTAATAGAGTTTTTAAAAGAAAACTGAAATATTGTGTTCTCATTAGCTAAGAAATTCAATTTATTCTCTTGCTGCCAAAGACATGCTAAAACGCATTTCCTGTTAGACTTGCAGACACTCTTTGTTGTGTTGAGCTGATGAGTTCCAGCTCCCACATCCCTCTCTGTAATGAGGGAATTGACCAGAGAATTCTGGTGCCACAGCGATTGTGAGGAAAGATTGCAAGAGGTCTTCAGTTTACACATGGCATCTGAGAAACAGCACATGCATACCTCAGAGATATTGCAGGCTTAGTTCCAGACCACTGCAATAAAGTGAATATTGCAATAAGGCGAGTCGTATGAATTTTTTTGCTTCCCAGTGCATATAAAAGTTATGGTCATACTATAATGTAGACCTGCAATTTCTAACCTTTTTCATCTCATGGCACAGATAAACTAATTACTAAAATTTTGCTGTACATCAAAAAATATAATATTTTTGTCACTCTTACCAAAAATAGATATAATTTTGATTCATTCACACTGGATGGCTATTATTATGCTGGCTATTGTCATTTTTTTTTTTTTTAACAACCTAAGGGAAAAGAGTTCAGTGCCCCTGACTAAGTAGTCAGGTTTTGCATATTTTAAACATTCTTGTGGCATACTGGTTGAAAATCACTTCTGTAGTCTATTAAGTGTGCAATAGCATTATGTCTAAAAAAAAAAAAAAATCAATGTACATATCTTAATTAAAAAATACTTTACTGCTAAAAATGGTGACCATCATCTGAGTCTTCAGCTTGTAAGAGGTAACTTTTTTGCTGGTGAAGGGTAACATCAGTGATTGCTGATCACAGATCACCATAACAAATCCTATATAATAAAAGCTGAACATGCAAATATACTGATCCGTGGAACCACCAGCGGAATGACTGGTTGCGATGATGTGCACTGACCACCAAGGGGCAGACGCTCAATTCAGAAGTTGCCTCCTGTTTGAAGGCCCCAGGACCCACAGATCAGCCCTGAGCGCTGGCCAGGCTTAAGGACCCTACCCATGCATGAATTCTGTGCACCGGGACTCTAGGATAATACTAATGAAAAATTTGAAATATTGTGAGAATTACCAAAATCTGACACAGAGACAGAAAGTGAGCAAATCCTATTAGAAAACTGGCACTAAGAGACTTACTCCATGGAGGGTTGCCACAAGACTTCAATTTGTAAAAAATTCAGTATGTGTGAAGAACAGTAAAGTGCAATAATAACTGTCATAAGATGCTCAATGGCCATTTAAAAACAGACATGAAATTACCATGATCTCCATAGCGCTCCACCTCGAGGTTCCCCAGTACATCGCCATGCCCTGGTTTATCACGTGTGTCATGGCTCGGACAATTTCTGTGGAAGGCCAAATAGAGCATGTCGTGAGTTTTTCTATTTTTCCAAGTTATATGGTCTTTGGGTGTTTTTTTCCCCTCCTGCCCAAAGCTTAGAAGTTTAATCCAAGTATTAGTTTGATTAATATAATTGCTTTGACATTGATGACAACATAATAGTCTACCATGAAATATTGATGATGTGGAGGCTGATGGTACTTTGGGGCAAATTGACTTTCCATTTCCATTTGCAGCCATCACACTAAATGATATTAAGAACCTAATGAGCACTTTAAGTTCTTCCTTGACTTTTATTGCTTCATGGTTCCTGGCCTGATGAAAGAACAAATGATTCACCTCCTTTAGAACCTGGGTACTCTGCTCACCAAAGTGAGAAGTAAGAGAAAGCATTTGTTTTGGCTTTGTAGACTGTAAGGTCACGGAGGAGAGAAGGCCTGCCTCTGTGTGCTGGATTTGCAGAGCTGGGCCTCACACAGGGTGGCGGTATAATAGAGATGACTCAACAGCAATGTATTTAGCGGAAAGATAAACATATTAAATGCTGAGCAAACAGCTGAAGCCGCAGTGGCTCCTAGCCCACAATGGCACTCCTTGTTCTTAATCCCTTTGAACCAAACTTTATTCTAAGAGTAATGAATTTTCCTGAGGGGGGTAGGGGAAGGGAAGAGAGTAGGGGAAGGAGGGAGGGCGGGGCAGAGGGGGTTGGGGGGGAGCTGTTTGTGGCCCCACCCAATTTGCTCATCTGCTTCTCTCAGCCTGACATTACATTTCCTAAACTGGACAATGAATCACTTTGCCAGAGAGGAGGAGCCAAGTTAATCCTCTTGGCACCAGCCAGATGGGATGTAGAAGCAGGGAGCATGCAGAGCCGCCAGTTCAACTGAGTGAAAAGTCACAATCGCGGTTGGATTTCTTCTACAGAGCAGGTCAGCCCAGGATGCTACATCAACTGGCATTTTCAAGGGGCTGCAGACTTTAGCTTCTCTGTGTCCCACTGATTCCTGTGGGTTAAACGTCCTTCAAAAGAATCAAAGTCGAGTTGAGGTGGACGTATTCTTATTTCTCATAAACAGCACTGTCTAAATTGGTAGGGGACAGGATTTTGAATGAGGCAGCAGGATTAGGGTCTTAGCTTCCTTGCTTGGTTTATGTAAACCATTTTAAATTGCCCTTGGTGTCTTTCTTTGGAAGAAGGGAAAGCTTTTATTCACCATTTCTAAACAACGGAGGGTAGAATTTGGCTTATAAGCTAAACTAACTCAGCAATGGACACTAGGAAGTTTATTCTTCCTTTATAAAGCAAAAGTGATACAGAACATTTTTCTTTTATTATGCAAATAGAATGATAGACATTTCTGAAGGTTGAAGGCATTTTTAAAATTTCTGCCCCAGAAGTATTCACAGTTTTGACAACACCATCAGCGTACCACTCCCTTTCCTTCCCCATCCTGTTCCACTCAGAGTTTAAGAGTTCATTCAATCAACAGTGTTTATTAAGTGTCTGTGAGCTGGGGGCTGGGGATACTGTGGTGAAACACAGAGAGGTTCACAGATAATAAAATGAACCCTACAGACTTTCTCCTGTCTCTAGTTCATAATTAGTGAGATGATCTCAGAACTCTGCATGGCTTGGCCACATGGCCATCACTGAGACCTTGACCAGAGCAGTTAAGGTGGAGTGGAGGCTGTGAGTGCTTTTATTCACTTAATACACAGGATTAAAAGCCTAATAATTGCCAGGTACTGTGCCAATTGCTGGATTCATCTCTGTGTACAACATACAAGCCTCCTATATTCAGGGAGTTGAGTCCAGTGGGGAAAATGGAGATGTAAACAAGTAATCACAAAATTTGAAGTGTTATGAAGTAAACAAATAGCAGGCGGATATAGAGAAGGGAGGAAAGACCTATTTGGTTAGGCAAGGTCGGTCTTCCTGAGGAGTAACGTGTAGAGTTGAAAAATAAAAAGGAGCCAGCTTTGGTAAGAACAGGGGAAGCACAATCTCTAGGCAAATGGAACAGCATGTGCAAAGGCCCCGAGGCACAACTTAGTGAGTTAAGTAATCAGAAGGAAACCATTGCAGCAGGATTTAGTAAGAAAAGAGGACAGATATACAAGATGAAGTTGGCAGAGGGAAAACTATGTTATTTGTATGTTATTCAAAGCTTAATGGAAAACCATTAACATTTTTTTAGGTAAGGGAATAACAGGATGTGTTTGTTTCATAATGCTATCCCTGACTGCACATGGAGAATCCCAGGGGGAGGATTGCAGGAAGCAGGAAGATCTGTAAGCAGGTATTGCAGTATTCCAGACAGGAGATGAGGATGGCTCGGATTAGGGTGGCAGAATAGAGAAATGGATGGATTCAAATATATTTTAGAGGAAGAATCCATTAAGACTTGCAGAAGGACTGAATGCGGCAGGTAAGGGAAAGGTAGGAATCAAGGCAATGTCATAGATATCTGGCCACTTAGAGTGAAGGAGACTGAGGGAGAAACAGGTTTGTTTTTTTTTTTTGAGGGGTGAGGGTGGGGAAAATCAATGTTTCCTCGTTGAACATGCAAAAAATGGAAATGGCCTGTGATATATTAAAGGAGAGATAGTGTATAGAGAAAATTGAATGAATGACACAGTAAGTAACATGGGCTGGAGGTGTTATATTTATTAGTTACTTGTCTGTTATGCATACTTAGATTCATGGAATTAGGTGAGACTATATGAGTGGAATCTGCAGAGGGAAGAGAAGACGTTTTAAGAACCAGCACAGAGGTTGGAGATAGGACACGGTGGTGTCAGGGTCATCAGCAAACAGAGGGGCAGGAAGGAAGCTGGGGGGGGGGGGGGGAACTGTTTCAGAATCAAGAGCAGGGAGTGCTCCAAGAAGGAGCTGTGCCAACACCCTGGAACGCCGTGAGCATTTAAGTCCAAAGGGCCCCTAATAGTGTCCACTGGGTTTGGCCACATGACAGGGAGGTCATCGTGGAGCATGAGAAGAGTAGCTTCATTGTCGGTGGTGTGATAAGACCAAGGCCGAGCTGTAGCTGATGGGAAGCATGGGCGTGGGAATGGGAAGACTTGAGAGGCAACCTGGGTAGGCTGAGTTTGGAAGTGAATGGAACAAAAAGGGCAGTAGCTGAAGGGGCCCTTAAGGTCAAAGGAGAGTTTTATTTTTATTTAAAAAATATTTTTATTGATTTCAAAGAGAGAAATATCAATGATGAGAGAGAATTATTGACTGGCTGCCTCTTGCTCACCCCCTACTGGGGCTCAAGCCTGCAACCAGGGCATGTGCCCTGACCAGGAATTGAACCGACCTCCTGGTTTATAGGTTCATGCTCAACCACTGAGCCACGTTGGCCAGATGAAAGTTTTATTTTAAAGATGGGCGATATAAGAGTAAACTTGTATGATGTTGGAAGTGATCTAGAAGGAGGAGTTATTGATGATATGGGTTGGGGGTTGGGGGAAAAAGAAGGGAAAGGGAGACTTGTTAAAGTGAGATGGAGCGAGGCAATGCTGGGTGGGAAGGACATGCCCATCAACACAGTAGGATCCAGGAGGTTTGTAGAACTCATCATGGAAGACATGGGAGCTCCTGTTTGATGAATTCTATTCTCAATGACTTATCAGTCAAGTGAAAATGAGGTGGGTGTGAGAAGTGAGGGAAAGGAGAGAACAAATAGCTCTGAGTGTGGAAGAGCCTATGAAGACACTCCAATGTCCCAGCACTAAAGTTGCTGGTAATTTCTTTCTCCCTGATTCGTTTGGCCCTTGACTCCACAGAGACAAGGTCGATGGAATATTGAAAGGAGAACACCAGGAGTCCTTTTTTTCTTTGTCAGAAGCAAAATCCTTATCTTTGAGAACAGTCTATAATGGAAACAGTACTGCAAGATGTGTAGTTAAGTTTGACTCATTGAAGTATAACAATTTTAAAAAGAGCTGAAGGACAACAAAAATTGTAAAAATGGACCACATGAACAGAGCTAGCTTTCTCTTTTCTTTCCATTTTGCCTTTATTGGATGAAGGCACTTCTCACCAAGTTTGGAGAAAAAGAATGTCTTTTAGAACCACATGGACTGATAATATCACCAATTGCTCCTGTAATCGTCCCTACAAATTATTTTACAATAAAATGTATAGAAAGAGAGAAGGACCAAGGCTCTACTTTTCAGTTGAATTGTATTTGTAGTAAAAGCTTTAATCCAGGAGTTCTTATCTTGGAGGAGGTTGCAGAGAGGAATTATGGGAGAACCGATAGGCCGCAGGTAGAGATTCATGTTGCCAGGGAAAAAATTTAATTTAATATACATTAAAATTTCTTTTTAATGTCAGAGAAAAATCCCCCAAGTGTTGAGCTAACAGGAATCTCCATACTGATGGCTGAGGTGGATTTTTACGTTATTTGACTACTTAAGAACACTAGAGGGCAGCATTGTTCAGAAAAAAAAATGAGTCTGCTGATTTGTGTATCATGGAAATGCATTTTAAAAGCATCTGGTCAGGGCATGGATTCTGAGTGGAGAGAAAGACATTAGGAAGATCATTTAGGGCATTGCATTCACCTCCTTCTTGCAAAGAACACACAGACAGACTTATTCAATCTGACAACCCAGGACTGAATGTGACCACTTTGCTCTTCCAGGAATCCTTAGTTCTGTGGTTCTCAACTATGGTTGCCCTATCTGGGCTCAAAATGACACTATCCGGGCTCCACCGAAGTCCTATTATATCAGATCTCTGGGTGAGGCCTGGCATCAACACTTTAAAACCCCTCCTGGAGGATTCTGGTGTGCAGGCGTGGAACCTTCTGCTGGTCCACACCAATGCTCCCAAAGTGTGGCAGCATCAGCAGCCCCTGGGAACCCATAGAGAGGCGTTCCTAGGGTCTTACCCCAGACATACTGAATTATAAAATCTGAGGGTGGGTAGGGACTAGCAGTCGGTGTTTTAACCAGCATCCCAAGCAATTCTGGTGCAGAACCAGGTTTGAGAAC